TACTTTCAATCAATTTTATAAGAATGTACTCTCGTATCCTTTCTGAACTGACCGATTTAATTAATCGACGGTATGAGAAAATTTCACAAAAATTTGCATATGTGAGCATATGTCAGTCCGGTCGTATTCGCGCAAGATAGGTCGGTCATCAAAACGACCCGGCGACACGCTCCTTTAATCTTTTAATCGTCGTCGACGCATTCCTCGAGTACGCGAATCGCATGACCAGCATGTAATTAGTCCGCTGGTAATTTCGCCTCGCGTAATGCGTGCATAAAGACCACGTAAAGGGCCAGATGGTAGTCTAAAATGAAAAAAGAAAAAAATAAAGAACGAAAAGAGAGTGACGAAGAAAGAAAAGTGGAAAAGGGAGGCGAGCACGCTGTAATTTTGCTCGAGCGATGTACGTACAATATTAGACAGACGCGATTTTTTTTTTAGCATCATAAACGCATACCGCGGTAATGCGCACGTCGTATTCGAGCAATGTAATAAAAACACAACGATTTAACATTTATACTGTATTAAAACTATAAATAAAATGCATCGCGAGTTCATTTTTGATATTTCATACGAGTTATTTTGATCAGTTAATTTTCTTCTTTTAAATAGATATTATTTATATGGAACGTTATATCCTGAAAAAGCATGTTTCTGTTGTAAATTGAAGTAGAAAATATCTTTTAAACAAAAAATTGAAGAAAAAAATAAACATAGATTCAATTCGAAATGATTCACCAAAGAATCATTCATTTTGCTTAGCCATTCATATCATCTTACATTTATAGATTTTTATCTATAGAGCTAATAAAAAATTCGATATAGATAGATTAATATTAGAGCTGACTTAATACAGTATATTGAAACACATATGTAAGAAAATAAGCAATACTTATGATGATCTTCATACAATTACTTAATCCATTTCAGATCATATCATTCTATATATTAATACCGAAAAGAATACATCAATTTGAACAATTTACTTACTTTCTTATTTTTCATTGTTAATTAAAAAAAAATGTTCTAAAAAATTGTGCTTCTAATGTAAAATATCTTCTGAATAAATATTGAAGAAGACAAACATGGATTCAATTTGAAACGATTCATCTACGAACAATTCATCTTGTTTAACTACCGAGATCATTTATAAACTTTATAAGCACTTATAAATAGATAATCGTCTCGAATTGAAGTTATAAACTTTATAAGCACTTATAAATAGATAATTGTCTCGAATTGAATTCATAGAATTTTCTACTTCAATTTACATCAAACACATATTCCTTAATTTGTAACAATACGTAACATTCAGTATAAAAATTTTATTTTATATATATACGTGCGTGCGTGCGTGTGTGTGTGTGTGTGTGTGTGTGTGTGTGTGTGTGTGTGTGTATACACATACATATATTCCCGTACTTTAGTTACTGAATCATTTGACGTTTCGAGATTTTGATTATGAAATAAAGAAATATTTACTGCGTCTTTAGAAAAAACGGAGATTAAGAGAAGTTCTCTATAGTACCTCTCAGAATATTTAATAAGCCACATCGACATTCGCGGATTTAATAGCAAGACACAGTGTTCGGACTCAATTCGAACACAAAGAAAGAAGAGCAACAAAAATCGTCACTTGCAATGTCGGCATTAAAATTGCAAAGCGTGCAGACAGGAGGCGTCCTATGCCCGGCTTTTTTCGATCCTTTTTTTTCTTTCTCCCTCCCTCCCTTTCCTCCCCCCCCCTCTCTCTCTCTCTCTCTCTCTCCCACACACA